TGTGCATGGTTAATGGTTGTTCAAGCTGAAACTGAAACTCCGACTTTTGAACACCGGAAAAAGCGGTGACACGGTCACAGAATAATGATCAACACTACCTAAATGAACGTCGTTCTGGCTGGCGTATATCGGTTAGGTGGGGTTCGATTGAGGATAAAGAAATGTTCGCTCTTTCATGGGGATATGATATCATGAACATGTTAAAGGCAGGAGTGATTCGTCTCCAAGTGAGTTGGCTGCGTCCTAATAACGAAGATGCGATCGTTCACTTGTTGGATGAGATATACTTCAGGTGATCGAAAAGTAGAAGTCCCGGGTGACGGAATTGGTTTTTCTCCTTCCAAATGACCAACGAGGGACTTCCTTCCGAGGTAGCTTTTGTATGGCTAAAGAAGATTGTCCTAAAAGTTGACTGTTCATTTATATACTCAATAAAATATAAAAAGAAGTAAAAACGTTCATTTATTTTCATGTTATTTATAATGATTCTATTCGTCGACTGAATGAATTCAAACCGCAAATCGATTCCCTCAGTGTAGTGTAGTTAGAATAACTTGTATTTTCCTTCAATGTACGTCCTAATTTCTCGGTCAATATAATATTATCACACTAACATTCATACTGCAATTAACACGCCTGCTTCTGATAACAATTCGTCATTTCTTTCGCCACACAATACGCTACAGATTTAGATCAGTCTTGGTGCATCAATACCCATGCATTTTACCGTTCTGACGCATCTTTCTTAACAACATTAAGTTCTGTGGAACTTGCGAATTGCCTGGTCGAACTCTGTCTCTATCCTCATGACATCTGAATAAACAAACCTGAACTGTATCCTAGACAAACGGACTCCCATGGGCTCCTCAAACCACTGGCAAATGTTCTCTACACCCAGAAACGTATGGCAAATGTCGCCATCAACTATCACGTCCAGGCTCCAGAAATTTGAGAAGGAGATAGCCTAGTTAAACTTAAAAACACGGTTTTGTCTGTCGGCTTTTTTCGGTTTGCACCAGAACGGATAATCCTTCCAAACTGTGCCTTGATCTGTACTATCCGGCAGACGCATTATACATTCCTACAGATTTTCATCGTCTCTAACAAAGAAGATAGAGAAAAGGCTTATATGACTGGCAGGTGCACTCATATGAAACAATATCTGTTCCAATCAAGAAGGAAATACAACGCTTGTATCGGATGAAACGTCTTGGACATGGGAACTGTTGTGCGATGTGATAAGCATTGGAACAGTTATGCGGCACATGAGTTAAATGTTTTCCTAATATAGAAAAGCTAAATCATGAACACCATACTAAATTCTGTCCATTGTAAGCACTCGTCCTGTCTGTTCAGTTGAGGTTATGAATAATCTCAAATCCAACAAGCCATGTGATCCTGATTTATTACCTTCCGTCTTGTTGAGAGCGTCCGCCGAACAGCTTGCCTTACCTATGGTTAATCTGTTCAGTTGGTTCATATCCTTTGGAAGTATCCCTGAATCGTGAAGATCTGTTCCAATAACACCCAGTCAAAAAGCGAACTCTTTAAAAGCCAACAGACTTGAAATGCAACCTAATTCGATGAGCCCCATTGTCTGATGCACATCCACCTATTTATTCAACTTGCTTACAAATTTCACTCCTCATCCTTAATGCTGGTAACAAAACAGCTCAAATTTTAAAACTATTAACCACAAACTGGTCGTTTAATTTTTCTAGATGTTCATGCTTTTTATTTAAGCGACCGTGGCATTTTCATTCAACTGCTTTCTGATTGTAGTCCGGGACATCATGGGTTGAATTTTCTTATCAACTACTTCTCATGCAGCACCTCACTCACTTTTGAAAAGGTAAAACTTCCTTCTCTACTGAAGTCAATTCCGGATTATTTTTGTATGCAATTTAGTTTCCATTCTTTTTACGCTTTACACAAATAATCTTCCCGTCCTTTTCCAAATTCACCCCGCGCAAGTGTGCTGACGACGTAGTAAAAGGTGTCCATCCATTGATCGTGACAGTTTCCGTTAACACGAAGGTTGCTTAAACTAAATTTTTAGTTGTTTTAAGCTCCGATCTCTAATGCTCAGTGAGGACAAATGAATCCTAAAAATTCCTGTTTTCAGGTGTTTTTAGTAATCTACCAGAACTAATAGCTAACGATAAAATCAGTTCCATGGCTGCCTTCTCGGTACAAACTCGTAGACAGTCATTCAGCACTGTCAAACTTGTAAAGTCAAGTGGCCGCTTAAATGTACTCAAAAAATCCGGGAGCCATTCCACAGTATTCTCTTCAGTCTAAAAAGAAACAATTGACCCTGATTTCCTTACCAGTCAAACTTCCTTCCCGTTGCAATGGTATTCCCAGTAAGTTATTGGCTGAGCCTTGCGTGACAGTATATTGATGTAGGTGACTGACTTACCAACCATAACGTATAATGAAGATCACCCTCACTATATACATCTTGATAAGTATGTCCGATTCGAGCTTTCCCCCGCAGGTACCAATGCTCACCTAAATCGCATAACATTCCCGCATTGTTCTGAGTTGGACACCTATGGTTGACTGACCATCTATCGCGTCAGTATTGCTTGCTTTTTAGAATGCAGTTGTTTGGTCATCTTTTACTATGGTTTTCGTTTATGTACACGTTTCTTCATTGTACCTTGATGAAACCTGTCTCGACCTGGGTAACCAGGCCATATGCCGGGCATGAGAAAATTATGGGCTGACTTCTCTGTCAAAAGGACTGTTGTACAGTGGTTTGTTTAGCACCGGCCAAACTTAGACGAGTATGTAGTTTAACATAACGTAATATCGCGTTCAAAACACAGGAGATTCACCCTAGTGGGTGTGTAAAGCATCCTCCGCCTTGACTTGAAAGTGCGCTATGACGAAAACAAAGCAATTTTCCCCGTCCCGTTAGAACAGGTATCACGAGAAATAGCATAACTATGGCGAATTCAAGCGCAATGTTAATTGGTGTAGGATGTGTGAGTTCTCAAAAAGGGCTTGCTGGAAGAGACTTATTGAGGGACCTAAAACTGTTGCCTCGACAACGCACATAGTTTTTGTCAATGTTCGGTTATAGTCACAAATAGGATGAGCACCAACTGATAAAGGCTCAAACTTGGAGTTAACAAAACTTTTGACTTCAGTAAAGTAAAATAACCAGATTCTAGATGAATGGTGTGAATTGGTCACTTTACCAATTGACCAGAAAAAAGACAGATGCCCGCGTGAAAACCACAGGAGAGTAAGTTTGATCAACACCGTCAAAAAACGACTCACTGATATTATTCACCGTCAAATGTCTACTGCACGCGAAAGGTGCACATACAGGAAAAGAGACTATCAGTGGTCGAACACAGCAGTCTACAACTCATCACGAGTTTGGTGGGATAACCGGACAATCAATACCGAGATCAAGCACAGAATTCTAGATAGTCACACTGATGCAACTGCCCGACCTCTATAAATTACGGTGGATGGAGCATACCTTACGGGTATCACCCGATATGCTTCTTCAGCAATACATGCAATTTGGTTCGAGGACACACAGTCACATCAGAAGCATTCGACCGCCTGATCGACCTAATCGATAGTTAGACAATGTCTGATATGGCGAAGTGATGTGTGAGGTTCGTGTATTTTCTCATTTCCTTCGCAGATCCAAATGATTCCTTTTTATGTAGTCCTATTATTCGACAGTGTTCTTTGCCTTAAACTCTTCCATTTCTATTCCGTTGGTTGATACAATAGATAGCCCAAAGACTATTAAAATCCGTCGCAAGATAGTGCAAGGCAGATATTCTTAAAAACTTAAAGTATTGACTTTCAACTTATATTCTGTAATCTGAATAAATCAATAACCTTCAAAATAAGATGAAACTTATTTAACCGATTTAAGATTTAGTACTTTATAGTTGATAAGATTCACCCAGAAGTGAAAGCAGTTTTACCAAAAAATTAAACTTACTGATGAGTGGTCCGACAGGGATTGACGACGAATCAATTCATATGCACTTTGGTAATCTCTGCGATCAGATCCCCGACGTTTGAAAGAAACACCCTGATGTGTCTGCTCGTATGTATCTGTTTTTCGGGGCCGACCTCGACGACTGGGGATTGTAGGAGCCACTGCAACGGATCGAGGTGGACGTCCACGTCGTCGAACCACTTCCCGTTCGACAGCAACAGATTTGGGGGGAGTATGACAACCATACGCAGATGGAGATCCGTCGGAGCTCTATTGAGCACGCGTACAATAGTTAGGGGATTTGCGCGTAAAAACTACTCACGTACAAATATTGTAAGCTAAAGTTGTAATGAAAGATTTTGAATCGCGTTTTCTACCCGAATGAGAGTGGTAATGTAGAACACAGTACCCTGGGATTTGCAAAAATCGGACGAAATGATATCAAGGTCAATACAGATTTAAATGCACAAAAGCATCCGGATTAGTTTATAGGACTAAGGAATTTACTGAAATCAAATATTACAACGATTTCAAACATTTTATATAAAAGCCACATGTGATACTAATCACAATTTACATTTATTTTCCCTAATTCACCATCCAGTTCTACAACCAAAACTCCATATACTGTTTTACAACTCGACGGGTCAGGCCACAATTTTGCAAACTAGCTGAGTGCATTACGTTTTGAATGCTCACTCACCGTTGATTTACACTCCTTGGTGGGGTAGTAGTTAGCTTTAAGATCAATAAGTCTTGGTAGTCGGAAAGCTTGGCGAATTCAAGTTGTTTGTATCATATCTTTCTGCGGCCACCAAATCGCATAGACAACTTGGCACAAACCAGTGCGTATTCGAAGTCCAAGCAGTTAGACCAATACGAACGTCAGTATTTCAAACATTCTATCCATCTATAACTAACAGTTATATGATCAATGTGAGCCCACATCTATACCGAAGAGAAGTTAAGCCAAATCGCGAGGTGACGCTTCCGGTGTCTGAAGTTCGTGTTAACGAGGGGCAGGTGGTGTTCTGAGCATGTGCTAAGAAGTCTTTCTCCATTATCTGAAGGACAGTTATCAAGGCCATGATGGCCACCAAAATGAGGTTCATCTGGTGACAGACCAACGCGTGCGTTTAGGTCTCCGGCCAGAATCAGGACACCCGTCGTAGGTGCTTCGGGAGGAAGCTCATGGAGGTTGTGATAGAAGGCGTCCTTGACTGTATCCGGGCTACAGTCTGCGGGAGCGTAAGCAGAAACCACGAATAAGCAGCGTTCGTTTGGTTTCTGTTTTCTTACCTTACTTGAGCCCGAGTCTCACTGCGCATAGTCGCCTACCTATCGGGTTCCAATCCAACAGACCAGCCTCGGCCCTGGCGCTTAAGGCAATACCAATACCTGCTTGACCAGATTATGTCAGCAATGTAACCGAAATTGCACCACCTGTCTTCAGTTTACAATTACAGTAATATAGTCTGCTATGATCGGTCGCATGTCATCATCTTTTTCAAATCTTCACGATTCAGTTCCATGTGGAACAATGTTCATGATTGAATCATTCTACTGTTTGGTTTGTGATAGGTACACGAATGAAGCGCAGTACCAAATAGCAGCAAGCAAGGTAACTTTATAAAACCGATGCGCGTTTTCTGTCAACAATCAGCACAAACTGGAATATGCAATTGATGACGAACACGAATATACTTAAAAATCTTCCAAACACTGATAAAATTTAGCTCTGGTTTACTTCAAATATATAACTACGAGAATGGTGAACGGTTGAGTTGATTGAACGAGTTGAAAAGTACGTACCTCATCCAGGGACGATAAGGACGAGGCTTGATTGGAGGGAGAAGACTGCTTCAAAAACTGAGAGTTGGAAGACACAAATGGAGGAGAGGAGGTGGCAGCAACCGAATGCTCGTCGNGCTCGTCGGAGGAATAATCGTGAAATGAGCTCACAGAAGTATCACGTCGGGGTGTCATCATGAGACGCTCCGCACCAGATTTATTGACCTGAGGTTCAGTGGAATCCTGAGAATCACTTCGTTGGCTACGATCCGAGCATGAATGGATAGAGCTTTCGCCGCCACTACTACTGCATAAGCCAAATGAGGTAAATAAGTAATGGAAGTAAAGCTACCTACAAATCTGTGGCCATTCGAGAAAAAACATCATGAATCACTTCTAAGAAAAACATCAGAATCAAAGGATTTTACTGCAAACAATTATTCTGTTGCGGCGTAACCTCAAGATCCAAGAATGAAGTTTGAGGTATACATTACCCTGAATTTTTTCGATTCTCGCGATCAGGCGCTTACTTCATTTACGGTTAATTACATCGGCGAAAGTACCTCACGATATCCACAAAAAAGGAACAGGGCTGCTTCCGTCAAACAAACAAAGCACGCAAGTGTTGGTGCCAGTGTGTGCTCCACATTATAGACAACGCACGTCACTGTCTTGACAGAAGAACAAGTAAGCTACGTAAATCCAAAACAAAACAAACTCTGTTGGCAAAACCGGTGACTGCAACCTATCCCGTCATATATGGAAGGGGGCACATTCTTCTCTTGGCACAAATGATCAGCGATCAGGCTATGAGATGAATATTTTAGTTCTGTTGAGACTGGGATGTGCCTTGCACCTTAAAAGTGCAATGATGCTAATAGATTGGGTACCGCCTAGTTCTGTTCTGAAACTAGACTGTCAAGAATTAGCCAAAGTTGACTGCTTCTTGTAACTAAGCAGCTGTGTGACCAACGACGGTCGCGTATCAAAGGAGATAAACTGCCCGCATTTCCAAAGCTTGAGCAGCTTACGCATGATTCGAACTCCTGTGGCCGCGACGTGACAAAACACTAAAGTTGAAAGGTCGGGAATACTGCGCCATTGTACGATCAGTTCTGCTTTACGGTTGTCAGACCTTGAATTTCCGAGAAGACATCCGTTGCCTAGTGGCTTTCGATAATCGATGCTTACGTAGTCTGGCCCAGGTTATATTGAGGCAGCGGGTTAGTAACTCAGAACTAAGTCGTATGGGAATGCACTGAACAAGAACTCGCTATCTCATCGAATCTAGTTCGAATCTAATTAGTTGGGACATATTTTCCGTATGTCCGACGGTCGCCTACCGCAGCGTGTCTTGTTTGCAGTGGTTGTTACGGGTTGGAGAAAAGCACATGGAGGCCATCAGATGAGGTAGAGATAGGCCGTAAAAAAATACACACAGCGATTAGGTAGAGTAGGTGTCTCTCGTCTTCCGGGTTGGGGTGCAAAAGACTCCGAAACCGCATGGTTGGAGACACTAAAGGTCATGGCTGCGAACCGACAGCAATGGCGAGCTTGCTGTCACTTCCAATCAGACCAGAATGCTTGAAATACAATGTACGCACAGTTGGACTGTGTACTCTGTGTGTTGACCATAGAGGTTCGCATTCTTTGACCGCCCCTAAAAGTAAGTCCAATCTCTATCCTCTTTACACATTCTCACTTACCTTGTACGTAATACGAGTTTGGCAGCGATCAGTGAAGTTCGCTTCACTGTATCACGCTGTACAATGATGATGACGAATGAGGCCCGAAAACAAATATGGTCATTGTCTTGTGCCGTAATTTGATTAGGAGACAATTGTTTCCAAAGGAGACGAATAAATCAGTTAGTTGATTACCGACGTAATTGAAAAGAATTTATTTTACCTTGCAAGTCGCGTTTAGAACACATTCTTATAATTAGATGGTATTTGACTTCGCCCACGTTGACGGAGATGGCTCGTAGAGCAGTGCCTAAGATATAGCTGCTACTCTTTTTCCCTAGGGACATAAAACAGTTCGAACGTAGTTTCAATCGTTCATAGGTAAATCAATGGACCCCAGAAGGCGGTACTTTGATCAGCTAGTAGGATTAAGGTTTTAGGATCAAAGTATCAATCGCGTTGTGAGGTCTTTAAAGAACACGATCAGTTTGATAAAGGCTGCCTTCTCATTTG